AATATCTTGCCAAGAGAAATGAAGGGATCTCGGTTTTTGCGGCTCTGCCTAGATCTGCGTTTCTTAAGGGGCGCGGAAATTGGTGTAGTTGGAAATTTCAAAATACCCGATGGTCAAACAAAACCATGACGATTGACGATTCAAAGTTTCCCTAATACGGTAATAATGGCGTAAGCTCGTTGCAAAAGCCATTAGTCAAGTTTTTGTTTCGATAAACAGGACCCGAGGATGCATCGTCCATACATTCATGTCGTATACGTATAGGTAAATTGATTCGCATACAAAATTTTGCAAATTAACAGAAATGCAATTCATCACGACTAACAAAGTGATTAATAATATATTCCCTGCGTGTTTACCGCCCGCGAATCGATAATTGCCGGGGCCAATGTAGAGGAGCTGAATATTCGATGTTATTTTTTTGTGATTTTTACGATTTGTAACGATGCGCAAACAATTGGAGCAACAGCGCAATTTGATTAAAGTTAAATGAAATAAACAACGATTGTTCTTCAATTATACACGAAAGTGAGGAAACACAAGCGAGCCTCAATTTTCACTCGCAAAATTAGAAAAATAACAGGTCTCGGGCAAGAGGAGCCGACAAAAGGTGACTCCCGCGGAGAGGGTCGTAAGTTTTTCTAGACCCTAGTACGCGAATATACAGTTTATTCGCAAATTCTCTTACGAAACGGTATACTCGTTTCCTACAACCAATGCTTCCGGAATTTGGATTTCGCGCACCGAACATATTTACGCACAATGCCGTTGATTATCTCCAGTCGAACCGAGTGGCTTTCCACCTGCACACCTCATACACACGAATACCGGCATCAGATGGGGTGTATACACCTCTACCATTCGAGTGCAAAGGACGTGTACAGCGCACGGGAAACGAAGGGGGTGACATTCGACGTCATTATCGCATTTCGCGTTGCCTCTGCTGTAGATGCCAGAGTGAATTATGCGTGAACGCATTCCAGTACCACCCCCCCCCCTACGATTTCTGTAGCCCAACCCCTTTTGCTCTTGCGAGCACTGCATTGCAGTCCCGGTGAAACTCGACCCATGCGAGCTTCGTTCAACATGTATGTGACGCGTGTGCGTGAGCTGCTGCTGATATCGATGATTCCTCGAAGGACGATCCGATTCGTTGGTCACAAGGCTACGGACCAATTCGCATGTGGGTTGAAAGTCGAGAGGTCAATGGAGAAACGTTGGTAGGAAGAAAAAAAAAAATTGTTGCTCGCGTATGACAGGAGAACAGAGGAAACACATCTCTCGGACGGACTATCAGGGAAAATGAGATTTTTCCTCCTACAGAGGATTAATAGCTCGCTCGCGTGATTTAAACTTGAAATTGGATGGTAAAGTTGTTTTTTCTTTTTTTTTCCTCTCACCTTTTTTTTTTTGAAGCGCGTATGGATTTTCCGGTCGATTGAAAGAGCCGAGCGCTCAAGTGATTAGTTAAGCATCGAGCGCTGTGTTCTGCAAAAGAGCCGAGAAAAAAGCGCGGGGATTAATTCTCGTAATATGATCGCCGAGCCGGTGGAAAGGGAAGAGAGGAGAGAAGGCAAAAAAAAAAAAAAAAAAAAATGTGAATCGTGAGGGGCATTCATACGCGTAATCAGATGAAGAGAGAGGGACTCAAGGGGTACGAGTGTTGCAGGAAATTTCCGTTATTAGGTGTGCTTTCAGTGCCGTCACCTGAGAGTATTGAGGTAGAGTAGAACAAGAAATAAAAAAGAAAGGAAAGAAATGTTTGAGAAGATTAAAAGCGATAATTTGGTATTCGAGTGCCGTGCATTATTAGGTATAATCGGGTGAACAGATATGAAGAGAAAAAAAATAGGGGTAAAGTGCACTCAGCCAATATCAATTATAAATACCTGCAGTGCATTTTCTTAACACATGTACAGCACGTCTGCTTTCTTTTGTTCCCAAAAACCATTTTCCCAAAAAGCTGGGATTCATTTAACAAAATACACTAAGCCAAAATTCATGCTTGCCATACGCGGATGCAACGCTTTAGCACCCAGTTAAACTTTCTCCTCAGCAGCGCACGCTTACAAACAGTCCATGAATAACCAGAGTAAATAAAAATCATTCGAGCGAGCAAACAGGGAACGGAACGCGCCGTGAGTGCGTGCAAGCGTAAACAAAGTTGCCGGAAAGAGAGGGAAGTTACCATAGCTGGGGTGATGACAAAACATAGTTCGCAGGATAAAGAAAGAGGTATCACGGGGGAGTTTCTTTATTTAGACGCAAAGGTGGCCGGACTTGAATAAAAATGCCAGCTCTCGTGTGCTCGGCCGTTCGTTGACGCGTATTGTGTCGAAAATGAAGGACCATCACCGCGTGCCTTTAACGTTATCGTTTCGCAAAACCGCGTTATGAACAATACTCTTTTTAATTTTGCCAAACGTTTTTTTTTTTTTTTTTTTAAATTCATTTGTTTATTCATTTTTCCCCACAAACGAGATGTATCAATATACCCGAGGCAATGAACGATCCAAGTTGAATGTGTAACATAAAAACACGATTTCGGATTGCCTTTTTTCGTAAAATAGTTATTATCTCCCGAGGGATAGGAAGGCTTCGGCGGATATAATCCATATCAGCCTGGAATCAGTTTTCTTATCTCCCGCGTTACGTACGAGCCTTGGTACAGGGGAAAAGTAAAACCTCCTCGTAGAGATGAGAAACAAAAGCGACTACATGGAAACCGAGAAGAAAAAAAGAAGCTTGCTCTGGGTTACTTGCCCAGTTCCATCGGAAAAAAAAAAAAAAAAACCTAAGGCAATAATATATCGAGGTGCACGAAAGAGCGCGGAATGAAAAATAAGAAGGAGAGCCCTCTTCGTTGCGTGGGTGCCGTATACATAAGAGGATACCAGCAGGAAGCAATTCTAAGCTACAGCCAGAGAAGGGAGAGGGTGACAAACGGGGAAAGAAAAATGCGGGTGCTGCGGCGTGAGTCGTGCCAGTGTGTACTATATATATATACCTACCCCGCAGTAAACTCGTCTATTTTCGCGGTTGCCCCCCTCTCTGGGTTATTCTCATACTGTTAGCACCTCAATTGAAGTTTCACCTCCCGAGTCTCTCGGAGACATGAACACGCGAAAATAGCCATTCGCGGTGGTACAGGTGTACATACCCAATTCCATACGGTTGGATATATTATTGCGCAACGAAACCATCCCTGAAGCCTGTAATTATTTAGAAAAACAAACACTCGGAGGATTCTCGAATTAAATTCAAAAGTTCATTCGAGTGTAGCTTTACCCGTGTTTTTCCTCCGCTTCGGCTAAAGCAGCCGAAAACAACTGCCGTGTAGTTTACACCTATAATGTACATACACACGGGTGCAAGCGAATCTCGACTGGCAAAGGATTCCCGGTGCGATTAAAAAAAAAGCGAGCAAAGTTCTCTTTCGTTCGGAGCGAGCGAAACAAGGGGTGGTGGGGGTTGTTTAACCGAGTTCAATGAAGTTGATGATTGAACGAGCGCGCACTCGAAGGGCCGCGTTTTACCGAAGATTTACATCGGCGACGCACAATCACGGGGAATAAACGGGCGATTGCGCGATCAAGCAGATTAAGAGGAGGGTCCTGTTTACGGAGTATACGTAGACAGCGATGGTAAAAGGGAAATAAAATCAGCGAGACGACGATACGATAGCAAACGGGAATCGTTGGGGATTGAGTACCAAGTATATGCCAGATTGACGAGCTGGCTCGTGAAATGAAACTCGCTCGGGGACGTGGAACGGGTTGTCGAGGGACGTGCTGGTAAATATATTGTTTCGTCCCTCTTTTGGTGCCGTACGGGGGAAAAACAGCAGTGGTACGAGTAAAACAAATTTACTCCCGTAAAACGGAAAAGAGACCCATAAAAGTGTAAAAAGAATAACATAAAACGTTCCCTTTATCGTGCAGGGTTCGCGTTTTGAATTGTCCATCGCTAAAGTTGCGTGTAAGGACATATTGTTTTGGCAGAACAAGCGAGAGGGATCAGTCTGGAGGAATGAGTTTGTATAGGTGGTGGTTGTGAAATGCATGTGGCAACTCCAGCTACGGTGGAAGCTATACATTCTACTGCGAGAATGAATATTACTGGAAACGTCAGGTGTCCCAATGATTAGGAAGTTTAGGTACGGAAGTCGTTACTATAATGTGTAAGTCACGTCATACCGCACACTCGTTTACTCCTCCCTCTCGTAAGTAGGTATATAACTAGTTATTCATCGAGGAGAGTGGGAGATGAGAGTTGGCGCCAACAGCCGAGCTGCCTTCAACTTTCTCTTGCTCGATGCGACTGTCATAGCAGGTAAACATCATTTTTAGGTATGTGTTTGCTGTTCCGTTTGAATGAATCTGACGAAAAATGATGACATTTTTTATAAATTGAATAATTTTTTCATAACAAACTCTGTTATGTTACACACTGGCCTCAAAAAATACTCTTATCCGTGAAAAAAATCATTGATGACTTTTCAAGATTCTCTGAAATATTTCAAGGTTTTTTTAAAAAATACGAGTCTCTTGTAAACTTTGACGTGTCAATTTATTAATTTCTAAGTACAAGTTAAACATAAAATTTTCGATTGCATATTAAATCATTCTTAACCAATTGAATCGCAACTTACATTATACATTATTAATACTCGAATTGTACATATTTTTAACAATTGATCTATCCGCTCGTAATCGCTGATATTTTAATAGTAAAATTAGTAGAGTCACGTTTTGAAGCGATAAAGTAGCTACGGTATCTACTATTAAAAGGACTTACGTCCTGTGTTTTTTGATTACGTGTGACAGTATTGTGCCTCTCCCTGAATGTATTAAACTTCACAATCACATTTCAATCTCATGGCACACGCATATATATATACAAGAATATTGACGAGTTTACAATCACTTATTGATCTATGTCGCAATAAAAAAAAAAAATCATCCAATTTCTTGAAAAAAATTTTCTACAGCGTTTGGCGATTATACTCTTGTAAGTGTTTTAGCTAATGTACTCATTCGATAATCTTCAGGGAATATTTGCAGCTGCTGATGCTGCTGCGGCTGAATCATCTGAACTGATGGATACAGTTGTTGCTTGAGCTGTTGCAGATGCATCGGCTCCACATTTAATTTGAATCTGCAACTGCTGAAAGAATTTACCAGAATTTTTATAATGTTGTTGTTTAAAAATATATATTTAAAAAATAATTAATGACTAACTGTTATGTTTTTGGCAATTGCAAATATTTATAATTAAAATGGTAAGAAATTAGTTTGCGCGTTTGGAGTCGAATCAAATATTTCATGCAAACTCTTATCGAGTAATCGTTTAATGGCAGTGCATAAAAGACTTCCTGCTGTAAATAACTTTTTTTCCTATTATTTTTGAAAATCAAACTTGCGTTCAACGTTTAGGCTATTCGTTTAATATTAGTTAAAATCTCAGCTAAGTAATACTTACGACGGTATAATATATTAAAAGTTAATTTCATACAGGATATTTTTGTAAAATTAATAAACATTATGTCGCGCAGTAATAAACTAAAGACAGAAGAAATTCTTTAAACTGACATTTACTTTTATTTATCCGCGATATATTTTTAATGGTAATACATCAAGAGAACATCGGTATGTTTGGAGCAAAGAAAATTAAAATTGACTTTAATGCTATTAATGAAAAAAAAAAAAAAAAGGAAAAAAATGCCTGTGTAGAAATTTGAAAGACAAAAAAGTTATGATGAAATATCGTATTACCTGGCGTAATCAGGAGCAAACGAATCGCGGTACAAATCACTGGCTCGAATAACAGCTACTGGGGCTCCGGAGCTCATAAGAGGCGGCACACGCCGCAAAACTACTCCAAGCTGCTGATTTGCCGGAAAGTATGGATGCACCGATGGTCTCCGCTGCATTTCAGGGTAATACATTGGCTGTTGTGGCATCATTGGTTGCTGCATCTGCTGATGGGGAATAAGTGTTTGCTGATGATGATGCGGAAGCAACGGCTCTTGCTGACCGTTAGATGGCTGCTCGACTTGGAGCAATTCCTTATCATCGATATCCGTGGATCGCAGTACTTTACTCGTTTGGAGGAGGTTCAGGGTATCAGGGCAGTTTTCGTAGTCTTTCTTGAACTTTTTTCTACGATTTTGAAACCACACTCGCACCTGTTGCTCCGTTAGTTTCAACTGCTGTGACACTAGAATTCGATGGTAGCGGCTCAAATACTTAGCTCTGCCGAATAACCCTTCGAGCGATGTAACCTGCGCCAATGTATACGACGTCCTGTTTCTCCTCGTTGCACATTGGTCTGAAAATATCAAGTTGTAGGTAGACATTAAAAAATATTTTTTTTTTTTAAATGAAAATTAATTATGCGAGTATGATTTTTACCTTTCGTTTCCTGATCCTGAGGCTTGTGCTCCTCAGCAACATTATCTAACTGTTCCGGATACTGAACCTGCATTTTGTCCTGGACGATATATGTATACTCTTATTTACGTATATTAGGTATTCTAATTCGACAGAGGCACGAGGTCTCAACACAGTTTTCGACGATTTCAAAAACTATTGCAGGTAATATATTTACGAAGGCGATGATAATTTCTTCGTGACAATTCAAAAGCATCAGGTAGAATCGAATGCTCACACTGAACTGATGTGGAACGTACAAGCACACGGCCTTATATACCCTAGTCGTTATTTTCTACTGTGAAAGGGTTGGAAAGTTAAGTAGCTGTTATCTCTCAGAATGAACTTCCCAAGCAATGATGTCACTGTTAAGTAGATCCGTGGAATTGTACTTATTTCCTGAAACTGGCCGTTACTGTATGGACATTACTGTGTGAGTAATTTGTGTAGAAGAATAACAAAAGTGGGTAGTGTTTTTAGTAGTGAAACCAAAATCTGACAAATTTAAAGTTTGTCCAAAAAATGCCCGCTAATAAAAATTTTCGCATTCCAATTTGGACGTTTCGTATTTTATGGAGGTCGAGGACATTAATGTTTTTCGATTATTCTATAATTATTTGCCAGTGCTACAGACTCGCGAATTTATAAATTCGATTCCCAAAAATAAAAATCAAGAGCCGGTAACGCTATAGAACGTCGTGTAATTTTTCGAAGCGTTTGGTCGTCGACTCGGAAGGTGGTGGATTAAAATATAGCTGTTTTGTAAAAAATGTAAGTGCAAAGGCGAAGTTTGATTTTTATTTGGTGCATCGCAATCTCGATTTTTCGATAGTTATATAAGCGCCTGTAACGCTCCTTTTGTCGCAAAGTACCCGTAACTCTTTGTATCTACGTGTAATGTAATGTAACTTTTACAAATGTTAATGATAAGTACACGATTAAATATAAGACCAAAGTCGAGTTTTCAGTGACAGCGCTGTTATCTCGATTACAAGAAGATTTTCTAAAAGCCTGTAACTCTCCTATATAGCTTATTTTGGTTACTCACAATAAGAAAAAAAAAATATTTCAACAATGAAAGACCCTCACTCAAAGGAGTTCGTTTATTTACTTGCGCTGCGACAAAACTATTTATATCATGATTACGCGCGTATTTTTTTTTTTTTTTTTTTTTTTTTTTTTTCAATAAATATTCGTGTATCCCAGCAACTTGTGCTCAGTTTGGACAAATGTGCATAATGAGCTCGAATAAACGAACGTGTTCATACTTTGTAAGATGAACCTAGAATTTACGTCATTTGGTATATGGTTATAAAAGTCATCAATCTCGAGTAACACGCCATAGCTAGTAAACGATCAAATTAATTATATAAAATTATTTCATTGGTTTGTTAACTTTTGAGTTATAATATTGAACTCATGTGGAAAGTGATACCCAGTGAACATCGTCGATGTGATCGAAAGTTGCCATCGCCTGTGGGGCCGTTTTGCGGCCCGAGAATCGTAAGTAGGCTCGAGGGACCGTGAGATAGCCTCGGATGGACGGTCCTTGTGTACCGAACACTGTTTTCCCTACCGGGGGCACACCCGATCCTCAAAAACGCCGGAGGTATAGGAAAATAATTTGTTTTTGTACAAAGCGGGAACCGCTTTATGGTTTCGGGTGAGTGTGACTCCATTATATTCGGTAACACTATATATGCGCATACAGATTATTTTCTTTTTCTGTAAATTTGAAATTAAATTATACAATTATTGTCGCGCTAAGTACAATAGCTATTGTGTGAAGAAATAACTTTTAAAAAATTCTTTGAAATTCATACAACCAAATGTTGGTCAGATGAATTTAAAAAGTGGCACGAGAGAGATAAAAACCTACCTAGGCTGCCTCATATTAATCCAGATAATAAGTGGCAGTAAAAAAAGTCTAAAAAGATAGAATAGACCGTGGCTGGAAAGGCAAACTGATATTGCAAATTTCGCGCCGGTTGACGAGCTTAGCGCTGCTCGTTTGATATTTCTGCGGGAGGTGATCGAGGTACAGCTATATGAACACCTCACGTGTCCGAAAAGACAGCCCCCCCAACAAACAATGTTTTAATCTCCTATCAGCATGCGATTGAGTAACTGTTCTGTCGCATATTTTTTTCGCTTCTCACGAAATTCATTTGGTTGGGGAAAAGCGGTGCGTGCATTCAATGAGACATAGAAAAAGAGGCAGAGAGTAGAGTACGTGAGATTATTGGAAAACTATAAGATTACGTTGGGATACGTTAGGCGCAAAAATCAGAGGTAAAAAGCTGTGTCTCGCGTACAAAGAGTGTTTCTGCATCGTAATTATCGACATGTGATAAATCGAGTACACGTTGGGATATCAAGTGAGTGGGTAGTAGACGAATTTTTAGAATACAAGATCGCACTTGACGAATGAAAAAATTTGAAGAGTTTTGCTTCATAACCGCATTGGTTCCATTAACGAACGATCGGCCGAAACACTCGGAGGGTGTCCAGCAGTAATTTCGAGATGAGGCTTGAAGCAGCACTCTGATCCAGGTTTTCCCGGCTGGATGGAGTTGCAACGACGGTCTTGTAATCACTTAGGCTAAGTAGGGACCGAGCCAACCGATGAGCAATGCAACCACATTCTCGTGCACGCGGTAAGACGCCGGTAGTGGTATAGGAGTGAAAGCTGGAGACATGGCGGCAAGGAGTTTCCAAAAGAAAGATAGAGGAACGCATTAGGTGCCAAGAGCGACGAATTGTTGATTTACGGATCATTCGCTTGGTCTTGTCGAGGGAATTACTTGGAAAGCGGCTTAAATGAGGACACTCAGGACAACTAAAGCTTTCGTTGCACGTATAGGTATACATATTTTTGTCCACTGTACTGTTGCTTTTTCACTTTGGCTTTTAAAGCTGAGGAAAGGTTTATACGAGTGTCCATTTAGTGGGAGTGAGCTAAATATTTAAACAAGGTTTTTTCCGCTCCTCCGACCCTCGGCCGCAAAAACAGGAGAGCTCCTTATCCTTCTTTTCTTCTTGAATTTTTATTATGCTGTTCCGCTACTTTTTTATTCGCGTAAAAGAGGCACAGCACCCAAGAGGGTATCTGTGTACGTGCATATTATGAGACTCTGGACTTACATGCTGGAGAGGGTACATGATTTGGTAAGAATTGCTGGTGAAAGTCGACGAGGCGGGATTTTATCATGCATCAGGCGAATATTTCCACGCACGGCGCAATTATACCAGTAGCAGGTATATAGTCGGGAGCTTGTGTCGGAAATGGGTAGTTCACAGGTGTCCGGATTTATTTCCTCGGCTGTTATCGATTCTTGATGCCGCTGGCTGGAGAAATCCGAGCAATTTTTTTACTCGAGGGATTTTTCAATTTTCCTTCGAGATGATTTTCACCTGATTTTTTTTTTTTTTTTTGATGTTGGAAAGAGAGTCATTCTGAATAGCTATTGTATTAGTGAAAAGATACGATAAAAATGAAATTAAACTTTTTGATTTCGCGTATTCAGTGGAAATTTCTTATTAAAAACGTGGCAATTCAATATCGTTGTTATTTTTTTGTACAATTGATTTTTGTGCCAATAGCAAGAATTTGTATGTTCTCACTCTTTATAGACACAATGCATTAAATGTATCGATTTTACTCGTCTGATGGTGCCAGATGGAAACCGTTTTATTCATTATTATTATTATTTTTTTTTTTTTTGCAACTACTCGTCCCATAGTTTACAAGGGATTTAAAAACTTGAATAGTATAAAATTTTGCTTACTATTTTGCGAAGTGACAAAGTAACGATTACATCTGGTACGAAAACTTTTTAAAATTGCTATTTCACTTTTGCTTGACAAATTTGTTACACTTGACCATAATTATTGTAGTATTTTAACTTTCTTGCATAATTATAATCGTGTACCATCAATTACCACCCAAGATTGTTCTTGTAGTTTTAATTTCAGAGGATAAAACGAACAATATCTATCAGCACTTGACGAATGGCTCTTGAATCATTTTGGCTATTAATTTTTTAAACAATTTTGAACACACCAATAAAAATATTATCATCCCATTGTAACAGTCATGCATCGGTGACTTTTCACTTCATGAAATGTTTGATTTTACATGAAAACTAAAAAGGTAAGCTCAAGCTACGAGGTACTTTTATTTTGCAACAACACGTCAGCAGACCTGAGATAAAATATCGCGCGTACACAAGAAGGTGTACATACAAACACCTGCGTGAGCATGTCGTGACAAAGTATGTATGCAAGATGACGGAGGACAAAAAAAAAGCAAGGCAACCGAAGCTAACTGGTTTTATTTTGTCTGTAAGTATACACTGTACACTAAGATGCCGTATACACCATTACGCTCGCTCCAGTGATCCTGACGAATTACAGTCATGCGGAAGAACGCGAGAACCATCCGGCAAGAGGTATAAAACTTTTCGTGCATTTTCTTGGAGGCTACCAAAAGATGTCGTAGGATAAACATCTTTTTTTCTCTCTACATTGCCCCTTACTACATCCTCTGTTTGTGCCCTTCTTTTCCGTCGATCATCCTATTGTTCCACCCGATGCCCATTATATTCAAAGTCATTATGTACCAATATTTATGACAAACCATCGATTTTAAGAATTTTTTTTTTTTATTAAATGATTCATGTTCGCGTTGCATACTTTATTGCATACACGAGTGTTGAAAGGAATCGATCTCGTTTCACATTTTATTTTGCTTCATCCATTCCCTTCAAAAAAACAATTGCACAAATCCGTATGATATGCACTACTGCTGAAATATTAAAAAAATAAATAAATAAATAAATAAATAATAGAAACGCAGAAGGATAAATAACAAAACAAGAAAAAGAGAGAAAAAGAAAATAATCTGTATGCGCATATATAGTGTTACCGAATATAATGGAGTCACACTCACCCGAAACCATAAAGCGGTTCCCGCTTTGTACAAAAACAAATTATTTTCTTATACCTCCGGCGTTTTTGAGGATCGGGTGTGCCCCCGGTAGGGAAAACAGTGTT